TGACAACACTTACCATGTGGACTAGCGGGATATAGTGTACAGCGTAATACAAGCCCATTGACAGCGTAATGACGTCAAAGCGCTTGTTTCTGAAGGGTGAAAGCGTTCGTTCACAACATGTGCCTTTTTGCTCAACGCCATTGCTCGCTGACTGTTCCTCCACATTTGGAACACGTCGAATAGTACACACAAGGGGAATGATGACCACCACCAACCCAGCCAGGATCATGAACGTCCGTCTCCAATGGAGCACATTAAGAAGGGCCTCCACGATGGAGCTTATTACGAACAAGCCTCCTCCAGGGCCCATAGCAAGAAGCCCCAATGCAAACGAACGTCTTTTGACGAAGTATGAAGGTATTACCAGATACGTAGGGAAGAATACAAAACATGAACCAAAACCAAAGAAGCCTCCGTACGTTACTAAGATGACGTACATGTTGGATCCTTGTGAGGTCACCAGAAGGGCCCCTGAGCAGATAATGACCCCAATTATGGTCGTTGTACGAGGCCCCACTCGATTGTACACTCTGGCTACAAGCGGACTAAAAAGACCTTGACCAACCAAGGCCAACGACCCAGCTAAAGCTGAGGAAAAGATATCATAGAGGAATGTAAGAGAAATAGTCTTCTTTATAAACTGTATAAACTTTCCAAATTATGCAGTAACGCAGTGTTATCTTTCTTCTTGTTTTCATCATATCAGTTTAGTTTTAATTGTGCATACAAAAAATAAAATAAAATAAATAAATGGCTGGCAAACAACGTGCCCTTTACTTAGAGTGACAGGATAAATGGCATCTGTGACGACACACTCAGCTATTGCCTCGTGTTCCCCTTTTTTGTTCTGACCACATTTTGACGTCATCTGTGATCTATTACTGAACAGACGCACGGCAAAAAGGAATCTACTTGTTAAACATTCGCGGATTTCCAATAGAACACAGCTGAGTGGCCATGACAATTATGGTGCACTTTGTAGCGGAAAGTAGCTGCAGGCTAATCTGTAAGATTTTATACATTACCGGTTGTGGCCTTTCCTTGCTGAAATTCCTCCAAAAGAGTAGGAAATATGATTCCGTAACTGAAAACAACACCGCAGATAATAATATTGGTGAGAGCGCAGGCCAAACACACAACCCAGGACCAACAGGAATCAGGCTGAGGCTCCTTCGCAATGCGCCTGCTCTGTTGATGATCCGCGATAGAATCCTCTGACATGTCGCAGTGATTCAGCGTCTCAAATATTCGTGTATTGCCCATCTGCAGAAAAAGCGAGCAAGAGACAAAATGCTACGCTGACAACAGAAAAATTGAACAGGGAGGAGTCTATAAAAAAATAACATGGGCTGGGATAATAGCCCGGGGTGGACTCCCATATAAAAAGAACGGGGGTGGTCGTCGCACCTTTCAGGGGTTATAAAGACGGTTTTGGTACTTCTTAGGGCATTCAGCCTCGTAGGGTCCACAGCAGAAATTTCTGACAAGAGATAATGTGTTGTTTTAGAATGGGTATGGGTAGGGGTTAAAAAATTTAAGCCAAGCCCAGCTCACAAAACAGGATCTTGGTATCTCTTAGGGGTTCTTTTGAAAATTTCCGACGAGAGTCCCTCCGGACAATATGTTAATGTAATTCCCAAAAACATTGAGCATTTAAGGTTTGTATTTGGGAGGGTGGGTCATGGTCAAGGCTGTGGGGATATTGAATTACGGAAACCCGGAAAATTGCACCATTCACATTTTATGAAGCCCTCTAAACAGCGATGACTGTTCATTCAAACTTTTTCGCAAACAGCTAGAGTTAAGTCTTTTACCCAGATCCTCGCGTAGCCGTCAACTTGAAAATAACGCTACGTGACAAACTCACTCAATGAGTCACGCTCCTTTTAAAATATGACGGCCGGCTCCCACCTGAGTTCGCGTGATTTTATCAGATCTGATATTGCTGGAGACTTTGCAGAAAGTCTCTATACACGATAGACTGTACACGACGTCTGAAAAAAGGTCGCTGACTATAATGGTGAGTAACGAAATGTTAAAATCTAACTTAAAATGAAGGAATGTCTATGCAAATAACTGATGCATGCATGAAAATGATAATGAGCAAGAAAACGACACAATGAAGGTTGAACAACGGCAACATTTGACATCGAAAACGTGTCTCTGAGACAAAGAGATAACTAAAGAACATATAACTTACAACAAAATGAGGCTACTGTTTCGATCTATCGCTCGCCGGGTTTTAATCGACTTAGACTAGAATCTCAAAATCGACACGTAGGTATAAGACTGTGGTAAAATTGAAGCTGAATTCCAACTTCGATAGCGTGATCTACAATGGTTCGATTCATTGTATTTTCACGTGTGTCAGTTCTTACCTGCGTTTAGTTGCAAAACAACTTCTAGGTACTGGCTGATCAGCACTTGACAGGTAAATAAATTACTTATCTGCGGGCGAACAGTGGCGTAAACAGCGCATTGCCGTCACTTTCGTGTATTGCACCACTGATTGAAACTGTTAAGTGGTGATGGCTTTGTCACGCTAGGCTCAATTTAATTTGCACGTGTAAACAGACAAAGACACTTATAATTACTCCAGTTCGTCGCTTTTGAATGCCCCCAGTTATATTGGTCTTGGGTGCCCGAGACAACCCTGCCCCTGAGGCAACTTTATCGAGCGTTTATATGCGAAAACGTTGTCCTGTAGTCCGAGTCAAAGTTGACCCTACATGATTATTCATAATCCTTATTGAATAATCAAATGTGGAAATATCCTCTTTCTTTGAGTTTCCCTTGGTCAATCGATCAAAGTGGGCTTTGCAGAGTTAATTTTCACCTCTTTGATAGGAATTTCTGCTTTAAATCCTAAATCTAAGGATTACGCGACACTCGCCACGCCGAGAATTGTCCCGGTTATGCATCAGTCAATTCCAGCAGTGCCCATCCCCCCCCCCCCCGGGCAACCGCGGGGCATTTGCTCAAGTTGTCAGTCCCGGGGGTGGGGCATCTGCAATTTTATCGTGGCCCGGGGGCTGGGCATTTGCGTACCCCGGGGCGACCCCGGGGCATTCGACACACGTGTTTTGGAAAGTGCCATGGATGAGTTCATCGGGAAAGANTTGATAATCTCTTCAGGCTCCATATGAACATAAAACTAGCCCTGGAACCGATTCCAGGGTCCGATTTTCGACCGCTGCGATTTCTGAAACAAAAGGTTTAGTGATAGACGCAATCGCATCGTTTTCATATGGAAACTACACCCTGGATCATTAGTACAGTCGAACCTGTATATAACGGACCTGTATCAAGCGGCCAGTTTTCCAAGTCCCGAATTTTCCCCCGTACAGACGCTGTATTTGTTACCTGTATTAGGCGGCCACCCTGTAGCAGTCCTATGTTTGTCTTTCGTTATTATTTTTACCCGTATTAATTGGCCACTCTGAACGTACAACTGACTATGAAATTGAACGTTACAACTAGGAAATAACGGAATGAGATATTTTGTTGTGAACTGTACGTCATAGAAATACAGTAATGTATACCGTAGAAGAGTAGAGGACAATTAATTGCACAGTATTTTTTCGCAATGTTACGTATATTATTCCGTTAAGTTACAAGTTGGCACTGAATATTGTTTAAAGTACTGACGGCACTTGTGTAACAGCCGTAAAATCCATCGTTTATTCGTCTAGATCAACGAGGGAAACGCTCGACACTGTCCCGTTTACAATACGAAAATTCGTGTTACCGTAACCTTGATTCATGAGTGTTCGTAATGCATCAGTCAATTCCAGCAGTGCCCATCCTCCCCCGGGCAACCGCGGGGCATTTGCTCACGCTGTCAGTCCCAGGGGTGGGGCATCTGCAATTTTATCGCGACCCGGGGGCTGGGCATTTGCGTACCTCGGGGCGACCCCCGGGCATTCGACACACGTGTTTTGGAAAGTGCCATGGATGAGTTCATCGGGAAAGACGAGGCGTTTGTCGAACAATGGCTTGTCCGTCAGAGACTAGAGAAACTTGCAGATGTTTTTAAAGGTATGTTTTCTTAATTATAGATATTTCTTCATTACTTGTAAGCATATTACTATAAGCGAAAAGGTGAACTATATTTTGTTTATCACAAAAGACTCATTGACGTGAACACGACTATTTCGCATTTCGCATTCAAAACTTGCCTAGCATTCTTTCAATTCATGAAAGTGGAGTTAAAATACTTAAGGTTTGCGAATTCAAATGAAGCGATCTTCAAGACAGATCTTGCGAGCTTAAAATGCAATGCATCATCATTTAAAATGTCTTGATTCTTCACAGAAAAAGTAGCCTGCGAATACAGGCGC